ATTCAATTCAAATTGCCGGAAATATATTTAACTAATAGAATTCATCCATTTGAATTAATCACTTTTGATTGGATAATTCAAAAAGCGTTTTGGCGCGGACTTATTCAGCGTCGTTCCCTGTAGACGCTTTTAGTGTGTTTGAGCGAGCTTCCGTTGGTTGCTGTCTGATGAGGGGGTCTCGGTCCCGAATGTTTTGAGATTGAAATAGCGACACACATCGTCGGGCGTAACATTGACAAGACTGTGGCTGCTGAAGGCAGGGTCTGAGAGTTCTTCCTCGCGTCCGAGGAATGCCATGAATCGCCGAAGCTCGGCGGCGTACTGTTTACTCATCACGGCTTCGGCCAAGTTGTATTTGGGTTGTAAAATGAAGAAGGTTATGCTGGGTGCGATTACAACCACCCATACAACTTGGATACAGGCAATATCACGACTTCATATCACATTGTCTGGAATTTTATGACTGGTCCACCAATCATCATCCGAGATTCCGAGGCCAAGGCACACCATCGACGAAAGTCTCGAATGTACAACTTGGGTTGTATTTTGCTAATAACACTATTGAACACGCGTAAAACATAAAAATAACAGGTTCAACAATTCCATACCCATTTTGCCACCGCAATGCAGGTGACACAATAACAACAATATCCATTCTCACCGTACCAGCGAATGAAATACCGAAGTTATACAAAATCCCTGTGAATTTAACGTTCTCGTGAAGATCTCACCACATGGTGAAATATTGTTGATGATGTGGGCCAGTCGTGCAGAGTGTCCTCCAATCAAAATAGACCATACGCTGGACATTCGTTTTTGATTGGCGGATTGTCGATTTCTCGCCCAAAGGGGTAGGTGTTGACAGACCCGACAAATGACGACGTCGTCAGTATCAAATTCGCCACGACTACAACACCATGGCCGTCTCCACGTTTGAAGAAGCCGTTGCCGCCATCAAGGACTGGAACCCGACCAACCAACCATCGAACGACGAAAAGCTCGCCATCTACGCCTTGTACAAGCAAGCCACTGTCGGCGACGCCACCGGTGACCGTCCTGGCATTTTCAACATGACTGCTCGTGCCAAGTACGACGCGTGGGCCGCCAAGAAGGGCTTGTCTCAAGACGATGCCAAGGCCGCGTACGTGGTCGAAGTAAACCGTCAAATGGCTGCGTATAACTAAACTAGTCTAGAATGTCATCTCCATACCTTCTGCACTCCCTCGCCGAATGCATCACATGTGAATTCGTCTGTCCGTGCGATGTCTTACCTATACGACCGTGCGATTCGCTGCACCCCTGCAACAAGCCATTTTGATCGAATGAATGATCAAACTTTGCTCAGTCACTTGGGCTGTGCAGCAGAATCAACTCTCATCCCTCCGTGTGCGAGTGTTCGTGCACCCGATTCCCAGTGGCCCATGGTGAATCCATCCCCCTTTGCAACGTGCTTTGTTACTTTGCGCGATCATAACTGCGGATCGATTTGGAAGCATGTGATGGATTATGCATGTATTCTTGAGGGAGATGCAAAAACGATTGCGCTCCTGCATATCATATACTACAAACTGAGGGTGCAGTCTTGGTATATGCGCAGGATGTCTTCAACGGGACCGGCGGGCATACTCGACGCCATGCCGTACATGGCGCTGCCACCTTCGAGCTTGCCGTTCGGGTCCTTCTTCACTGCTTCGACTGCTTCCCTGAGCGCCGTGACAAACTGGTCGCCCTTGCCAATTTGTCGGCAGGTCACGCACAAATGAACGCTCGTGGGATGTTGTAGCGCATTCAGGCTCCACCCGAGTTTGGTCAATTGGTCGCTGACCTTGAGAATGTTAAGCTCGCGGCTGCCAAAGCACACGATCATGGCAGCACCGGCACCGAGCAAGTGCAGCCCGTCGATGGTGGCAATCCCAGCCTTGATCACTTTGACTGTTTCCATGATGCTGCGTGTCTTTTCCAGATAGCCCTCTCGGCCCATACGCATCATGGACGCCCAACACGCCGCGCTTAACGCGCCGGGGCGACTACCGGCGATCGTTGGCGTCGCGTAGAGCCCGCCAGTCCAGTCAGAGTAAGCAAAGTACTGAAAGCGACGGACTTCCTTCGACTTGTACAGGACAATTGACGTGCCCTTGGACGCGTACCCGTACTTATGTGTGTCGCAACTCATGCTGGTTACCCCAGGCAACGAAAAGTCGAAGGATGGGATGTCTGGGTACCCCAAAGCTTTCGCGAACGGAAGCACAAACCCGCCGAGGCAGCAGTCCACGTGCAGCCCAATGCCATACGTGACTGCGACCTTGGAGAGCGCTTCGATGTCGTCGATCGTGCCTTGAGGAAACGACGGCGCGCTGGCGTAGATTAGAATCGTGTTGGCTGAAATATTCCACTTGACCGCGGCCACGTCGATCCTGAACGTCACAGGGTCCACAGGCACCTTGATGAGGCGGATGCCAAGCATATCACAGGCTTTGTCGATGGCAGCATGGGCAGTGACAGCAGCGATGATCTCGGGTTTTGTGATGCCGTGATCGTGGCGGAACCAATCGCGATGGGTTTTGGTCGCCAGCACGATGCTTTCAGTGCCACCCGACGTGAGCGCGCCGCAAACTTCCGTATTGCCACCGTTGAGGAAGCTCGCCGTCATCGAGATCACTTCGGCTTCCATGCGCACCACAGATGGCCACAAATCGGCGTGCAATGGGTTCGTCACGTTGAAGAGAGCATATGCTTGATTTAGAAGGCCGACGTGGTCGTCATCGCCGTGATAGACAGCGCCAGACACCAGTCCGTCCTTCCAACGATTGTCTTCACCTTTTACCATTGCTTTCATCGTCGACAACACGACTTCGCTCGACGTGCCTTTCTCGGGAAGAGTGAATTGCTTGGGGAAGTCTGCGGCCGACTTGGCGTGCTCTTGGAGTGACCTTTCGATTTGAACTTCCAACTTACGGATTTCATTGCGGTACCTTGTCCACAGGATCGGAATGCGCTTGAGAATCGAGATCCCCACTTGTCCGAACACATTGATCATCTTCTTCTTGGAGTAGCTGTAGCGGGCGCGACGGAGCACGGGTACAATCGATGTGACGAGGTACAGAGCACCGAAGATCACGATAGCGTCCCCAGTCAGGGACGTGATGAGCGGAAAGTGTTTGGAGCCCCACGCCAATACATCCACGAGGAAGGATCGAGATATGGCTGCTCCGCCTTGCTCGAGCTCGTAGCTGCGGTATGCGAGGAAGGCTAGGACGGCGATGGGGGTAGTCTTGGTGAGAAGACGTTCGACGTGCGTGATATGTCCCAAGGTCACGTATCCAGCGGCAAACGCTGTCGCCACCGCGACCGCATCGAACGCAAGCATGGCTCAAATTCAAGACTGGTTTCTTTTGTGGATTGTCAGTTTGGAACCCCCTACCCCTACCAAAGGGCGGTTTCACTCTGCGAAGCGTACGGGAATCCCGGCCACGACGGTGGTAGGCACACGCACATCTTTCGATGGCCATCTTCCTTTAGCTGCCGTGCAATGTGTGAGGATCCCCTTGCTCCCCCCCTGCCGCCGCTAACAACCACGACAGATGCTCTATCGTCTGGTCGTGAATGATGTTCAATCCACAGCCATGTCACAATACGACGCAATCGTCATCCTGGCCATGTCGCACCAACGACATGGCCAGGATGACGGCTTGGGTGGCCATCACTCGGTGCAGTGGAACGAGTTGTGTGCCGCGAAAAAGAGATCCATGAGGGGCTCTCATACATGAGCGCAAGAGCTTCACATGGTTACAGTGTGTCGAATCCCGAGAAGTCAACGTGAAGGGATGAACCAACGAAGTTGCACACAATACAGCTACTATCAAAGGGACAAAAGAACATGGCCATGCTTGACCAGACCCACGCACGTTGGGTCTCCAGTCCGTCTCCAGAGCACCCCGGAAAATACGACCCCTACAAAAATACGACCCCCTATATATTTTGACATATTTATATAGATTGGGTAATACTACTGTACCCTGCATCAGTAGATACGTATATAAAATTGGACCAACAAAATAAAATAATTGTAATTGCAAGTGATCTGTTCTGGGTACTTCCCCTGATGCAATATACTGTCGACAAATAGGTGTGGGTGGCGAAACTTTGGATATTTGATCGAGTCACGAAACTATTTGTTTCGCACGAGTTTCGGAATCCAGAAGAAACCAATATTAGTCAATTGAGCTTTGTATTCAAGCCAAACTATCTTGCGAATAAATCGAGATCACGAAAAATCGTCGAAACTCATGATCCATAAGAAATTGGCCAATCAGAGTCTTTAAGCAAGTCGGGTTTCGTCATTTTGGAACACCATGATCCACGAGGAGGATGCGGAAGACGCGCGGCAAGCGATACGGCTGGCCACATCATGCAGCTCCTATTGCTTTGAATTGGTCCATGGTGGACGAGCGAATCACCCAAAGGACGACAGCCATCATCGCCGAGAAAAAGCAGTGTCACGCCGCTTGCCCATGTCCCAATGCCCGAGACTGGCTTGAGAATTTGGACATGGAATGGATAAATTCACAATGTCCCACCAGGTTTTGTATTTCCCAAGTGCAAAACATGAGACCTATGGAATTTGTGGTGGCTTGGCACCCCAACTGAAGAAATTGGCTCCTCGCGCACACTCAACGATTTGATTGCATGTCAGCGGCCGAGCTCAATCAAGCGTTCAAGCTTAGCTTCCTTCACGCGTGTGTGTGGTTGTACGGGGACATCACCGCCGATGAGTGGAGTCGCAGAAACGACGACGTAGTGAGCTACGTCACATTGTACGATGCGATCAAAGCACGACAAAAGCAGGATTTACCCAACGTAACTTTCATTTCGTTATGGATATTGACTAGTACCTCGACAGAAACACCTCCCTGCAGACTTGAAACACACACACAGCACTGGGACTGATCCGCCACACTGCACACACACAGCACTGCCACAGAGCCACCACCCTGAACACACAGCGCCATGACGGAGCCACCTCCCTGCAGACATGAAGCACACACGCAGCACTGGGACTGAGCCGCCACACCGCACACACACACTGCACTGCCACAGAGCCACCACCCCGAACACACGCAGCGTCACGACGGAG